CCCCCCCCACTCTGAGTTGTTTTATATGGTCATTATAGAATGTCCTTAGATTGACTGACTTATGTACACCTAAAAAATAACCCCCTCCTTTTTCTTTTTTTTTTACAGGTCCAACTCAGTCTGGGGAATCTAGACCTCTTCCAGCAATAGTGGTCACTTCAGAGTCTGTAACAGAGATCACTTCACACAGTTTTGTGGTGTCTTGGGTCTCTGCTTCTGATACGGTCTCTGGATTCCGTGTGGAATATGAGCTCAGCGAGGAGGGAGAGGAAAAGCGTTACTTGGGTATGTGTCAAAATGAAGTCTTAAATACAGCTAGATGTTGTGGTGCACAGATTCCAGCCTGTTATTTGGTGTCAGTTTATTTTAATGTCGTAAATCTAAGATCCTAACTAGGTATGACATATCTCTGATTTTTATATATACTTTTTAAAATAAGCTTGCAGTTGTATGCTTTCGGACATTATCATTTTGTGGGCTACTTTTTAGATTTTTTTTTTTTTTTTTTTTTTTTTTTATATTTCCCCAACACTGCTTCTTCTGTCAGTATCCCAGACCTTCTGCCGGGCCGTAAATATATTGTTAATGTGTATGAGATCAGTGAGGAGGGAGGAAAGAGCTTAATCTTGTCCACTTCTCAGACAACTGGTAAGTGTGTGTGTGTGTTGTTTTTTTTTTTTTTATTGTGTTGCTTATCAATTTGCAAATGGTTACTTTATGATCGGCTAGGGATATTTAAGCTACTTCGATTTTTGATAAAATTGACTTCATAAATGTCCAGTAAAAATTATTGTTTTTTTTCAGCACCCGACAGCCCTCCAGAATACAATATTGAACACGTTGATGATACATCAATTATGATCAGCTGGACCAAACCTCAAGCTCCTATTACCGGTAAGAGCTTGCATGCATTGTGCTTTGCCTTCAAAATGTACACTGGCTATTGAATATTCTGCAAATATATATGTAATCAACTGATCATTTACTTTGTATGACACCATGAAGCAGTCTTCATGTGTCTATAGTCAGATATGGTCCTTGCCCAATCTTTGTAGGCTCTGAGCCGCCTTTGACAGAGGCAATAGGCTGGATTTATACATTTGATCAATCACTATTGTCTTTTTTCCTCCATGATAGGTCGTTGTCAGATCTACAAGTGCTCCCAATCCCTTCCGTCACAAGCACAAATGTGAACATAAACATTTTTGCAACAATCTTTTATAAAACACTATTTGGTAGCAGAATAATGCATAGTCTGTTGTCATCTAGGGTCTGTAGCTACCGTTTTAATCATCTGGCTTCACAATCAAATTTTTAAGGTCTTATGGGGACAGTCAGTGAATGGCTGCTGTAGGCCTACTGTATGTTGACTGCTGTGTTAAAGCTGCTTATCTGAGTGGAAGTTATATTTTTCTGTTTTACAGGCTACAGAGTTGTCTATACTCCAACTATGGAAGGAGCCAGTACAGAACTTATCCTCCCAGACACTGCTACTTCAGTGACCCTCACTGACCTTTACCCAGGTGTTGAATACAACATAACAATCTATGCAGTAGAAGACAGTCAGGAAAGTACTCCAATTACCATCCAGAAGGAAACCACTGGAACCCCACAACAAGGTAGATCTGTCACACTTATCATTGGTGATAAAACTTGAATTGGCACAGTGTGAAAAGAAGTGGGCAGAAAATTCACTTTTTCCCACAATAATGTGCATACTTACATTGGCACCTCATATTTCAATATGTCTGGATTGATGGATGAGATTATAGACTGAATTTTTAAACTACTTTTAGGAACATGCTTCGTGGTTCAAGGCCAGGAATGAATTTGAATGAATTTGAATTGAAGTCAAAGTCTGTAGGTTTCTCAGTACCTTGCTGCATTTGGCTGCTTCCTCTCATGTTTGTAGTGGCTGAAAATTCTTGTAGTCTTTACCAGGCTGACTTCAAGAACTTATGAGTAAAGACTAACAAACCGACTTATTCTGGTTTTTTTTTTTTTGTTTGTTTTTTTAGCCTTTTTAAGAAAGGCTAAGTGGGTTTATTTTGTTTACTTTAACAAAATATAAGTAACTTTTTGTGCTCACATGATGGCTGTCTGAATACTTTGTAGTGAAACAACAACAATTCATAAATGCATAATGCAGACTTCTTAGGTACCCACTCTGAAACGTTGAGGGTGTGATACCTCATAGTAACCCCTTAGATACTAAATATAGGTGTTTTCTAGAGAAACTGTTACTCACCAAATTTTTTTTAGTATTAACCCTTTTATTGCAACAAATGTAGCAATTGCAAGGCAAAACGGTTTCAATACCCTATAGCTCAATTCATAAAGCAAGCACATTAGAATAATAAGAATAAATACAAAATCTTTTTTAGTTTAATTTTCCATGCTGTGATAGTTTGACTGAGGAATTACTCATGCAACACTGTACCCAAATTTTATATTCTTTTGGAACCCAATGGAGCTTTCTTTTGGTGTATTTTAATAACTGCTGCTTTTTAGAGAAGAGAAAAATAAATTGGAGAAAACTGTTTCCCTTTGTTATAGAACATGGTAAATACAAATTTCCATTCCAGGAAAGCACAATTTGGAAGAAATTAACAAACCTGCTGATATTCAGGGTGTTAAAATATGGAGATTTGTAATGGTGCACTAGATACCATTAATGTAAAGATGCACAAGGGGAAGAGATGGTGAAGGGGCTAATGTACAGGTCACATACAGTAAGAGAATGGAGATAAGGGGTTAATGTGCAGGATAATGAAGGTGAAGGGGTTAACATACAGGTCTGAGCATGAACCGAAAATTGCTGACACACGTGCAAGAAAGGTGGGTGAAAGGGTTAAAAATTTACAGCCTCTATTTGCTGCGGCAGCTTGCTTTCATTGGAAACTAATGACCTTCTGCTAACAATGTGATGACCATTTACACAAGGCACAGAGCTGGTCCATCAGCTCTGCCTGTAGCTGAACCTCTCTGCTGTCTAAACATGTGAGAATGTACAGTTATATCCTCCAATATGGAAGCAGTTCAATAAAAATCCTTGTGTAAAACTTTGTAAACAGAGCCTTCTGTCTTACAAAATTGAACCAGAAAGCTTAACCGGCCTTTTCAATATTTTTATTTATTTTCATTTGTACCTCCTGATCCGCTTTTGCCTGCAGTTTCCATAGTTGGCAGTATAAATTGACAATCATGTTGGTTTTGTACAGTGACTGTTCCATCACCCACCGATCTGCAACTGCTTGATGCAACTGACATGAAGATAACCATTTCATGGAACGCTCCAGCAAGTGAAGTGTCTGGATACCGTGTTGTAGTGACGCCGGTTAGGCCAACAGGCCTTGACACTCAAAACCTGCCAGTGAGCCGAAGCACCTTTGCAGAGGTTGTTAACTTGCGCCCTGGTACCACCTACAGATTTGAAGTCTATGCAGTCAGCCGCGGACAAGAGAGCCAGCCTCTTGTAGGAGATTTCTCAACCAGTAAGTTCACATCTCTTGTAGCTGTTTTAAGTGAAGATGTTCATGAAGGTGACTCAGGTAAACTATTGTATAAGCCAGAGGAGGAAAATGTCCAGTTCAGAAGCGGTCAATTTTCATTTTCTGGATGACTAGAGCTTGGCGACATGTCGTGCCCTAAAAAGCCAGGGAAGCCCCTGCACAGACACCCTCATTTTTTCATAATGTGTGTGCACACTCTCACAATTAAACATTGCTTTTGCCCTTGATGTGATATGGTATGATAACCTCTCTTCCATGCAGAGTTGGATTCTCCCACTGATTTAAAGTTTGAAGACTTGACGGAGTCTTCAGTCCTTATTGTATGGACACCTTCGCGAGCCAAGATCGATCGCTATGTTCTTTCACTGTCTCAGACCCGTGGTGGTCAACCTCACCAGTTCGATGTACCTACCACTACAACAAGCTATAAACTGAAGAGTCTGCAGCCTGGAACAGAGTATACAGTTTCTCTGGTTGCACTGAAAGGAAGTCAGCAGAGTCAGCCTTCTACAGAAATCTTTTCAACATGTAAGTATAAATGTTCTTATTCCTCCTCTCTGGGTTTTTGTTTTTTTTTGTTTTCTCTTTATACTTGTTATTGAAACTGGTGACATATTTTTTGTGTAGTGTACCTTTAATTTATTCCAGAATAGAACATATGTCCGATTGATGATCTGTTAGAAACTAAAAAAATTTGTTTAGAAATTAAACATGTTTTATGTGCCGGATGGCTGTCTGTACGGGTACTGCAAGAAAAGTTCCAGGAAAATTTGCAAAGATTTTTACCCTCCTAAGCATCCAAATAACACTTCATAAAATAAGCCTGATCGTTAGGATCAAACAGATTCTTGCTGTGTATGCATTAATCAAATAATCCTTTCTGGGCAGCCGCAAAACCTCTCCTTTTGCCCAGGCTATAAATTGGTTACAGACTTCTCCCTTTCCACTGCTATTTTCGTGTATTGTCAATGAATTGGTTAAACCAGCCAGTATTCTAGGAATGTCTCACTGTCCAGCTAGCAATTCTCTAGCCCTTTCCTATGTCCTTTAACTAAGCACACACCTCACGCTTTTCATTTTTTCAGTTTGCTAATTTGTAGTTTGAAGAATACTTGAGTGATGTTTAAATATACACCCTGAAAACTTCAAATAGCCAAGTAGGTTGTAGGTTTGTTGGACATGTAAACCTTAGCGGAATATTTTGTAATCTTGGCGATGAAGGCCTGACCACTTCAAGCAGTCTGCAGGATGTAGGTTTAGGCAAATGCTGTCTTGTTGAACTAACCTCCATGCGAAATTCTGAGCACAAACCCTGGAAAAGGGTTATGTGAACAGACTGTAGTAAACCGCTCCCGGACTTCTCTTGGGTAAACAGTGGTATTTCATACTGTGCATCTATACAGATGATGTTTACTATACCCTGTACTACTGATGAGAAGACCTTTTTATTTAGTTGAAGCGTATGTTTATGGATGAGGGGATCTTGTACTGGATTTAAAAGAGAAAAATCCTCCTTTTAAATTTCTGTGTGGAGATATCTGCTGTAAAATGTAATTTCTTTTTTTTTAGTGGAGCCTGTTGGATCTATTCCTCCATATAACACAGAAGTTACTGAGACCACCATAATTATTACATGGACCCCTGTGCCAAGAATCGGATTTAAGGTAAAAACTAACTAAGAAATGATGTGATGAATAGGAATGAAGGGCAGTCATTGGGGTGTTCTTGGCTTTAATATGGTCTAGAACAGGTATTCGGTTAGGAAGTTAAGTTAGGCAGCCTCAACAGGCCCAACTTTCACCCCCATGCCCATAACAGATATGTGGGCTGCTGTGGCTATTTTTCACTGCTTTTACAAGTTTTCCTTTTAGAATTGAGCTTTATCCATTTTTTGTTTTGGTAGAGTTCGACTTCATAAGCATGCTTCTAAAGTCCAGGGCAGGTTTTCTTGAGAATGAGTTGGCTCTCCTAACTTTTGTCCCCTTAGCTGTACAGTGTGACAAGCCAAACTGGAAGGGAGACCCAAAAAAAGATTATGGTGTCTGAATATACACTCTCTTTTTCTCAAAACCTTGTTATAAAACCGGTATCATCCATAATGCTGATCAGTAATATCCATGTGTGCATGTTTTGGAAGTATGAGTGAGGGTTGTTGCAATAACCAATTTTAGATAATTCTAGGTGGTTGTTCATTTGTGTATTTAGGCTGACCGAGATTTTGTATTAATACATTTTATATCATTTTGTAATTCATTTTGACTCTCCGACCCTCATTAATACTGCTGTTTGTCGTGATCCTCCCTCGATCACTTCAATATCTTTTTGTTGTCTGAATATACTCCCCTACTTTGGTGAAATCAAGCCAGCTTGTAAAATGATATGCAGTAACACATACAAACCACCTCTCATTGGCTTATGCTACCTAACCAAAATATGAAACCTAGTTCCCTTTTCACTGACTTGGGTAACCTTCCTTGGCACATTGTCTTCAATCAGGGACATTGTTTTTATAGACCTAATTTAACAAATCTAATGACTAATTACTGGAAGAAATCTGTAGTATGACAAGGGTGGGATGTATACATTTTTTAAATTTTGTATTCATCTCTTTTTGTAACATGCTTTCTGGTCCAGGAGGGTGGTGAGTATTTTATATAATGCCATTTCAACTGTAGAAGTGTTTGGTGCTATAGCATTTTATGAACAGGCACCTTACAATATAATAATCTTCTTTGTCTTGTTAAATTAAACAGTTGGATGTACGTCCCAGCCAAGGTGGTGAAGCACCCAGAGATGTTGTCTCAGAGTCTGGCAGTATTGTGATCTCTGGCCTTACACCAGGTGTTGAGTATACCTACAGCATCTCTGTTCTCAAGGATGGTGAAGAGAGCGAATCCCCCATCACCAAGACAGTTGTAACTCGTAAGAATAAATCCAATTTTGTTTTTCATTTATGGCCATGGTACAAAGCCTCCTATAGCTTTGTGAAGGGGTTAAGGTTTACATGCACGCTGGCATTTTATTACTTTATTAAGGAACAATCTGGTCTTGAAACACTTGTTTTCTCATGTGACTTGTTACCTGAAAATGCATGTCAGTCAAGCTCTTTTAATAAAGTATATGTAAACCCAATCACATAAATGGCATGTAAGCTTTAACATGGTAATTCTTTTTACAAATTGACATATTACACAGACATAGTCCACCGTTAATCACTATCAGGAAACTGGCCTGAGAAATGATGGGTAGGAGTTGGTGTAGTGAATGTATGTAGACAGGAAGGTAAGCTGGAGATCAGCAGAACTGAGATGCAAAAAAAGATGAAAGTGTAAACCTAGCTGTGGTTTGATGCATCGTTTTTTAGCTCACAAAATATTCAGTTAGGGTTTATATGTACTTCAAGCAAACAGTGGCAGATACTGATGTGTGTTCTGCAGTACCATTGTAAACCCCGCCCAATGCCCCTTATGCTAAAAGTGTAACAGACTCTTACTGGTCCTTCAGATATATTTTGCTTTGTTCCTAAATCAATGATATTTGCAAATGGAATTAGATGGCGTAAGTCTGCTAAGCTGTGCATATTGACCCAGACTCTGAGGCATAGTTGGAGATCCGTAGACTAAACAGAAATAGAACAAAATGCTGTTTTCACAGCAGCTTTTACAGTTCCTTTTCTTTCTGTGTTTCCTGGTTTTGTTTTACGTCCTGTTCTCTGCTCCTGTTTTGATTTGCATTATAACCTTGTCTTAGAACAGTGATATTTAACAAGCTAATGCTTTTTTAATTGTCTTGCAGCAATTTCACCACCAACCAACCTTCGTTTCCTGCCAAGATCAGATTCTATCACTCTGACCATCTACTGGGATAGAAGTACCTCTCCAGGTAAGGAGTTTAGCTGAGTATGTGGAGTTAGGTGGCGATTTAATGATGACCCTTAATTTTTCAAGTTGGCATTTATTTGTGGCTCCAAAACAGAAAACTAAATTCAATCTAAAATGTTCAACTTCACATACCCAATACCATACAAGAGTCTCCCTAAATCACATGGAGTGAAATTCCATCAAACCACCTATTAAACTATTACATTAAATATTACATAAGCAAATACAGTTAAAGCCTTTTAGCATTATATTTCATCTTTGAGTATAATATATGACATATGATTAACAGAACTACGATTCATGTAGACTATTGTATGGTATGTAAGCTACTGATTTTATATTGCCTTTAGACTTTTTGGACTGGTTTTTATTACGGTGTCCCATCTGCTGGCACCATACCTAGAGAGCTGCTTATAGCGTTTTTTGTGGGTTTTTTTTAGTTTCTAAATTATTTGCTTATACTTTTATACTTTACTCCTGCAGGAATTACTGGGTACAGGATAACCTCCTCTCCCACGGAAAGGCAGCTTGGATATCCAACAGAAGATGATGTTGATGCAAGCCAATCCTCCTTTGTTTTTGAGAACCTTAGTCCTGGTGTGGAATATAATATCAGTGTCTATGCAGTTAAAGGAGATGAGGAAAGTGTCCCTCTCTCCAAAATAATCACTCAAGGTAATGACTTGACTATTCTGTGTCTATTTTACCTCTGGTTACTTCCTTAGGAAACAACCCTGGTATTGATGGGACTATTACTGCAGCTTTATAACTAGACAGTCTGGCCGTGATAAATCTGTTACCGCGGCTGCTACTTATGTCCTATTTCTATTGCTTTTGCCGCAATGCTTTGCTTCATTATTCTTGCTTGGTGCAGCTTACATTGGCAAAAGAGTTGTGAAGGGCACACAAAAATATGAAACAAATCTTGCTGAAATTATGACCACTTTTTTTTATTCAGCCTTAAATATAGATATCTATAGAATATCCATCTATAGATAGATAGATAGATAGATAGATAGATATATATCACCTTCTCGAGTATTTGGGGGGAAAAAACATAGGTTTAATCTCTTCCTTTTTGCGCTCCAGTAGTTTTAAATGCGCTATTAGAATTGGGAATGCTACACCTAAACATGTAGAAGTTTTGTCAGTTGTGCCTACTGTGTTTGTGTTGCCTTCAGATTTAGTGCTGAAGGACCGCAATAAGCCTGGCCATATTATGTGATATTACAAGTAGTGTGACAGATTGCAGCATAACATGTGCCAGTTGAATTCCGTAGCTGATATGATCAATCAAACACATTGAGTTACTCAGCATACTTACAAAAACAATTTCAAGATTTCCATAGGAAATCTTTTCTATTTCGATTTAGAATATAGAATTTCTATCGCTGTAGATCATTTCTATTGTATACAAGCCTGATGTGAATTTATGCTGGTTAGGATTCACAGTAGCGGCACTGAATTGTTTGGGGATGGGCAGATCTTGCTTACCAAGTCTGCCTTTTTGGTACTGGGCTTAATCTTCTAAACTAAAACAATATCACTACATAGATAATAAAGTCCTTCTCCCCAGATGTAAGGTGCCTTGTGTGTTCATAACTCGTCTGCTTTCCACAGTATCTGGCAAATATTTTATTGCAACCATTAGATATATAGTGTACTAATCTCTGCTTGACCCAATGCTGATGATGCTTCTGTTAAAATAGAAATGTGTCTGGACATTTTTCCAATGAACCTTTTTTACACTGCATTTCTAGCAAATCATCTATTTGTCTGCATAGCCAGTGTAACTGATACTGAACAACATTTAGGCAGCTTGAATTGTTAAAAGTGTATGCATATTCAACAATATTTTGTTGTATTGGATTGTGTAGGGATGGGGTTTTTGGGTTCCCTTTTTTTTTTTTCTATAAGGGTTTTCTTCGCCACTGGGAAGATTTCCATTTAACTTTCTGTCTAACCAGATACTAGAGGCAATCTTCCTAAATGAGGGATTTGTCTCATCTTGGACTGTTGTCACTGGAGCATTTGACCTTTTTTATTGGAGGATTTCCCCCTCACCTCTTGCTGGTGACAACTATAAGATTTTGGATTTCCATCACCTTGTCGGTGGCTGTGCTCACCAGGGAAAACAGAGTTAGCTTGGGTTCACATTTGTGCATTGTAACATCACATGTGCTTTGCTGCGTGTTTTTACATGCATTACCATTTGTTGTACTAGGGCAGCATATTCATTTGAATAGCTTGCCTACCGTATCAAAGTGCATGGCCCTTTGTTTTATTTATTTTTTTAATCGCATATTGAGGTGCAGTGTAACATGTGGTACATGTGCTTTGGGGTGCCATTAAGAAATCAAGGCACCAAACAATGTCACGCATGATCTTGGGTGATGCAGGGACCTGCAAAACATTCCCGCATTGCATAGATGTGAACTGGGGCTTAATCTCCCTGGCAGGGAGACAAATTGCAAACAAATCCTGACAGGGTCTAGATGTTACCTGTTTTACACATGTTTTTTGTTGTTTTTTTTGCTTTTGCATACACTTAAAGCTTTAGAGCCAGACGGGTGATGACTTGATGATCACAATGCATATAGGAGTGTATATGTAGGCCAAATAGCATTATAAAATTTAGACTATTTATTTGAGCCAACTGACCTTCATTTTCATATTTTCATTTATTCTGCTTTGTAAGGTTTGAAAGTGCCAAAGTTTTTTACTTTGTCTTTGTCCTGGCTAGGAAGGATTTACCTTCCTAGCTGCCAGTGATGGTTGTCACCAAGACATGACGTGAGAGGTGATCTCTCGAATAGGGACAAGGCAACAAGAATCCAAAAATGAATACAGATTTATGTTATTAATGGCAACAAATCCTACTTGCCTTGCATTTTAGGAAAATGTTAAACAACAATTTTGATTGGTTGCAGCAGACAAAATCTACGTTTGCTAATTTTATGTTCTCCACGTTTCTTAATCGCGTCCCCATGACATGAGCCATTATTGTCTCAGTGGAGGAAACTTATCTTGTAAGCTAAACTGGCATATAGCTTCATTGTTCTCTACTGTTCTCACGGAGCCAGGAGTTGTAATGCAGTATGTTTTTATAGTCAATCCAGCTCAGCTTAGTGCTTATTGATGGTTCTTCTAAAAGTCCATTCCCACAGCAACACTGTCAATAATAAAAAAAAAAAAATGCGGGTTGAAAACTAAGCACCCATCAGAACCAGCATGGTGCACTTTTTAAAGTGTTTGACTTCTTGACAGTGCTGATGGCTATGTGTGTTTTTAGACACCTTTTTGTTTGAGGATGACCATTGGTGTATCCCACATAATGGCCACATACAATGTAGGTAGAGGACAGGCGCACTTTAAAATCATAAGTTTCTCCTGCCACTTGAGTCTTCAATGCATTAAACCCAGAACTGAAACTGCTATATGCTAACCTCTTAGCATTTTCAAAAGTTTTTGCACATGTACTTTAGACAGATCAGATTGCACATGTAAAGGTACTACCTGCACAAGCTTTGCAAACTTCAATGCAGTAAAGCATCAATTCCACACTTGTTTTCATTAAATCAGACACACTTTGAGTATCAGTTGCTTTTTCTAATTTTTGTACTGCTTTAATACTTGTAATTATGCAATTCTTAATTGACATGCTTTGCTTCCTCCCCCTGCCTCCATTCCCTTTTGCTTCTTTCCTGCGTCACCCTGCCAGAGATCCCCCAGCTCACTGACCTAAAGTTTGTCGATGTAACCGATACAAGTATTGACCTGAGATGGACACCCCTTAACTCCTCCACCATTATCGGCTACCGAATCACGGTGGTTGCTGCAGGAGAGTCTGTCCCAGTCTACGAGGAGTTTGTGCATCCTTCACAGGGGTATTACAAGGTCTCAGGACTGGAGCCCGGCATTGATTATGAGATCAGCGTGATAACACTCATTAACGGCGGAGAGAGCACCCCGACCACAATCATACAACAAACGGGTGATTGTACAAACCTTGCCATCTGCAGAGGAGGGTTCTGTTGCATGTGTTCACCTGCATAAGGAAAAGGATATTGGTGGCCCCAGGAATATCTTTGATGGGGGATTCTTGCACTTTTAAGATAACCTTTTCCAGAAGTTTCTAGCTTGTAATTAAATAAATTGGCATGGTAGGTTTATTGCTGCTGTGTCATCAAAGCTAGTAACTTGAAACTACCCATCGATTATAGGTTCTTTCCCTATAGGAAGCCTTCTTTGGATAGAAATGGATGTGCTCTGTATCTCAGGGCAAGAAATAAGGGGAAAAGGTCTCCTTGAAACCTAGCTCATCTGTCTGTATAATATTTGCTTTATGCTTCAAAAAGCAAGAACAATTTGGGCAAATGTTCTTGTACAAAACAAGTGCACTTCAGGTGTAGTAACTTGTAGAATCTGCTACCAAAGCTTTACCTAACAAGTGAAGCCTGACTTCCTTTCGAAGTGCAAAATATTTATACAATGCGAAGCAAATTTACCAAAACATGGCTAATATTTTCATGTGGGTGAATCACATACAACAGTGTCTACCTTCTGCACTGCATGTAACTGTTGAAATGTCGGTTGTTGCTGCATGCATGTTGAATGTCCTTCAAAAAGAGTCTTTACTTCAAGTTCCAATATTGAAAAACCATACCTGTTTTTAAAACCTTTAGAATCTTGTATGTATAAACTGTTTCTGTCCTATGTAAAACTGAGTAGTAGCATATTTTTATTTTAAAAAAAAAAGAAAATCTATATATTAAACATTTTATATACTACTGTAATTTTCTGTTATATGGATGTAGGGTCAAGATACAATTTTAATACAGTAGTGAAATGTGAGTTTTCATTTATGAAGACGTGCAAAATACAGTAACCCATGCCAACGTGATTTTCGTTTTACTATAATCCCATCACTTAAACTGATTTTACTGGGGTCTGTCTCCCTACTGCGGACATTTATGTTCACTTCCCAGGTGGAACCAGTCCCCAGAACAGGATGTGAGGGTAAATCTTTTACCTTTTTTATATGCTCTCTGGATCCCTATCTGAAAGGGGAACTTCAAACTGGTTTGTAGTTATTTTCAGAAATGTACTAGTCTACCCAGCATTGTCCTGTGGTGATCCGTTGCTCTACTGCTATAGCCTGGGCTTCACATCTATTTCTTTGACCTCATTGGGAGCCTGATGACACACCACCAGGTCCACCCTCTGTTCACCCTGTGTCCCTGCTCCTGCAGTCTCCTGGGATATGTGACATGGCTATCCCAGTAGGCTGCAGAACAGACCTTTCATTCTTGTGTAGGCAACAATGATGACATGGGGCAGGGCTGGACTAAAAGAAATTTAAACAAGAAAAAAATGTATATTGGCTTTTTAAACTTGTGTAGGAGTGCCAACATTTTAGATTGAAGGTCTGCTTTACATAAGGTTCTAAACTTTCCTTCCGCTTTAAGAAAAAAAAAAAATATTGACTGGCCTTTTATGACTGACTGCTGACTGGGTGTCATGGTTTACTGCATTCTGTACACTATTGCTGTTTTGCACTGACCTATTGAGAAATTGCATTTATGGCTGGTCAAAGAATTACTTGAATTTGCATTCGGTAAACCTGATTTGTTCCTCTTATAATCTGGAACCTTAAATACCAACATTAATAACCCTTTTGTAAATCTAGTTAAGCACGATTTATAGAGTTGTTACTTTTTAATTTTTTTGTTAAAGTTTCATGTAGTGTTTGCATGTACTGTGCATGTATGTTTGGAATGTGCATACTTCTTGTATTGGCTAACTTTTTATTCCTGTGTTTCATGTTTTAGCTGTTCCACCCCCAACAGACTTGCGCTTCACTAATACTGGTCCTGACACAATGCGTGTCACTTGGTCTCCACCAACTTCCATTGAGCTGTCCAACTTCCTTGTACGCTTTTTCCCTGTCAAGAGACCGGAGGATGTTACTGAATTATCCATCTCTCAAACTGATAACATGGTTGTGCTAACAAGTAAGATTTCACTTGCAATGGAGAATTCAAATGAAGATTGTAATTCAATTTGATGGGGTGGGGTGAAGTGTGTGTAAAATCTCACTCGCATTGGGTAATTAGAGCAACTAAACTGAAGAGATGTTTGGTGATATTAACTTTGTTTTGTTTTCTTAACATCAAAAACAAGTGTTGGGGTGGGCCCCTTTAAGATTTTTCCCTCCCCCATGTTTTAGAGCAAAAACTGGAATGTGAGCATAGAGAATTTCACAAGAAGACGCCCTTTAAGTAGATGTTTTTACAGTGCTATCCAGATGGGCAACATCATAGAAACCTAGTTTAGGTTTCCTTTCGTTAAAATTGTCAGCAAGGTGAGCATCATGTTGTATTGATCCAGATAGCTGCGGGGGAAAGTTTCTGCAGTTTGCAATGATGGAACCCAAAAGTTCACAAGATGTAGCTTCCATCTTGTTCTTTTAGCTTCTATGTTGCTCCATTTTTTTCATTTTTTTTTTTAGCTGTTATTTGCTTTCCAAAATGTGATGCATGGTCCAGGTATTTCAGTAAGGGTTCTAACATTTGAGTAAGCTCTGAGTTCATTTTGTGATCTGCTTTCAGCTTGCTCAGGATTGAAAGGTGTATTGTTGGGTATATAATTACTATGTTTTTTTTTTTTAGATCTTCTTCCATTCACTGACTATCAGGTCAATGTTCATTCAGTTTATGAAGAAAGGGAGAGTGCTGGACTGCCAGGCAAACAAAGAACAAGTGAGTATTTTGGTACACTTTTTAGGTGACTTTACTTGCTTATTAAATTCCTGTATAATAACATATTCAGTTAAAGCAGGACTCCTGGAGTGGGGTTATACCCTCACTAAATATTTACAAATTTTGTAAAGATTTCCGCCCCACCTCAAACAGTGTTACATCTTTAAAGTGCAGTTCCACTTTTGCAGTCAAATTTGAGAAAATCCCCAATATGTTTCTGTTCCCATTCACACAGCATAACTAAAAATAAAAATGTATATTTGTAGTTTTTTTTTTTTTTTTTTTTTTTTTT